TCAAAATGAACAAGAAACTCTGGAAAAACACGAAGTCGTGGTTTTCACCAAAACATGAAAAACATTTTGAGGGATTTGCTAAATGCTACTGCTGAATATAATATTCTGTGGCTTATAACGGGGAGTAAAGGTTAGGTAAATCACTCTCCTGCCTGACAAGTAAAGCATCTATTTTAGAATGCCTCAAAAATTTGGTTGGTGTGTCATTATGATGACATATTCATTTTCCCCTAGGCCTCCATATTAAAATGCAATTTTATAGATGGTATCATAAATTTTAAGGACTGTATACGGCATTGACATTTGCCTGAATGTTCTTAAAAATAATATGAAAGCAATACATGTGAAAAAAATAGGAAAAATATGTACCAGAAGAGCAGAGCAGATGTACTTGCTCTATGTGCTACTGTAACATCAGCAGATTTCAGTATTTATGGAACTTGTACAGTATCTGCTACTTCTAGAAATATCAATAGTTTAAATTACTTTTGGTCAAGTACTTGAGAGTCACTTTGTTAAAAGAGAGATGTGCACGCAAACCCAGTTTAAATTCATTTTAAAAAAAACCTGGATGAAATGTTGAGGTCACATAGATAAAAATATTAACACACCAAAAAAAAGGGGAAGAGGGGGTGAAAACCAGAGTTTTTGTGTCATAAAGGTATATATTTTCAGAAATAAGGTGCACATTTTCCCCCATGAATTTTTAAAAGAATCTTCCATAATTAGAGCCTAGATCTGCACAAGTCTCATTTACTGAAAATCTGGTATGTTCACAAATCTTCCTTTTAAATTGCTGTCCTGTAGAGTCTGATCTAAACAGGAAGAATGAATACCTGAAGTGTGACCAGCCTCAGTATAATTTGTATTTTAAAAGTAATATGAGATTTTTGTTCTTTCCTAATTTCAAGGCGCAGTTTGACTGTCTTAAACAGCAGGCTCATCAGGGTCACTTTCCTCTGGCCAGGATAGAAGCATTAAAAATTGTGTGCCACTTCTAACAAATAAATGATTAAATTAAGTCTTTACTATTTCTTAGCTTAGTTTATGGATATGAACCTAGAAGGAGATGCTAAAGCTTCAAGCTGATTCATTCAAAATACCTGAGGCCTTTCAGCATTTTGACTAGGAATATTTAACATGGAATAACTGAATTTATTGCTATACTAAAGTTGCGTTTTAAAGTTATATAAAAGGGAGAACAAAGAAAGTTATGGATGAGGTCACTTGCAAAAAAACCTCTCTCTAACCAGGGTTTGGAGAAAAAAATCCTTGAATTTGTATATGGGCTGGTTATAAAAATAAAGGATCAAGTTTGAAAAGTTAAATACTGGAAAAGTTAAATACTGGATCATGGCATTACTTGGAACAGTTTCTTTGGGAGAATAAAACATAATAGTATTCTTGTTTGCATAATGAGTATTTTTGGTAAGAGCATTTAAAATCCCACTGTCAGTGAACAGAAGAGGACTGCTCCATGATGACTCTTGTTGGCTTGCTTCCATCCCTGCATCTTCTTCAGAACTCTTTAGGTGAGCAGTAACTTTAATATTTTTTTTAACTAAAACATACTCATAAAACCATCATCTCTTGCCAAAAAATGGAAATAAACACATACACAGCACATAGAAATCCTATGCTGCACTTATCCAGATGCCTCTATGTTTGCCACTTGAGTCAGCATCCAACTCACCATGCAATCTCAAAGAATACAAGACTGGAATGCTGAATTCTACCAGCATTTAGCAGAAATGTACTGCCCTTACATGAGCATCATAAAACACAGTTCCATCTTGACTTGCCTCAATCTTAATAGCTAAATTACTATCTAAATCCAGATATTCCATATTAGCTTCATCTTTGTCATCCAGAGGAACACTAATGTTCCAGGAATCTCACTAAATTTCAAGACTGGGGTCTAGGGTCATTCTCCGATTTTCAGTTCTTGTTAAGAAGAAGAAAAAAAAAAGCCACCATAATTTACTCTTAATTTTGTAACTGAGCAATGTGAAGATGCTCAACATTTCAATATAATCTTGATATACAAGACATGGTCATAGAAAACACTTAGCTAAAGAAATTTTGAACATAAATGTGTTCAAATCTAAAGAAAGCCCTGCCTGCAGTACTACTGTCACTTCCCTCCTCCAACTAAACTGAACTCTGTATGCACAGCAATAAATATGATGCTACTACAGTTATATTAAACATTTATTTACATACCTTCTGTAGAAATTTGCATTCATTTAAGTAAAAAAAAAAAATCACAATCTCAATTGCAAGAAAGCAGGAGAGGTTTTAGAAAACAAATTACATGGGCTTTTTGCCAAGAAGCAAAGAAATTCTGACAGGGAACTGGTATTAGTAGGTACAGATGGTGAAACAGCAGCAACACTCAATTCCTCTGCAGTAACAGTTGGCAGACTCACTGATTTCAGGGTTTTTTGCCTATTTTATGCAGTTGAATCTTTGTTATTTGCATTAAGCCTTAGACTTTTATATGAAATCTATATAAGTGATGGGTTTCCAAATAAAAAAACTCAAAACCCCAGTAACAACAAACAAAAAAATCCCACTACAAATGAACAACAACAAAAAAACCCCAAAACCCAGTCTATGGATTTTGCAGTAAGAGTTGGTTTTGTTCCTTTTTTCCCCTCTCATGGGCAGGAATAACTGAGTTTTCCATTTTATAACAATGCTCTTGTTTCTTTCTGCCAGATTTAAACTCTTGTAGTGATCTGTAATAAACAACATTCTGGCACAGCTTAATTTTCAGTCAAATCCCTCTAGGGAACAGAGTGATTTAACATGAAATGTGTATCCCATCCTGCTGCTTACTGTAATCTACTCAGACCAAATGGGGATAAGGAATACTTACTTTACACAAATTAAAATGAGATGTTTTGGCCAAATTTGAACTCCAAAGGAGGTATTTGAAAACATTACCCATAATCTTACTTTAGTCTCCCAAGTCAAGCTAATAAAAACTTCAAACTTCTCCCATTTATCACTGCTCCAGTTTCTGCCACCAAATCCATTTTGCTTAACACAGAATATTGTCAGCCTTATAATAAAACCTAAAAATTTAACTACATGCTGGGTACTTTCTTGAAAGTTTTCTGAGGGAAAGTAGGACTGACAAGTCACATTCATGATCTTAAACAGAACAAGAATACAGCATATACTTCTTTGTCTCTGAGAGGCTGCAGCTGGGTGAGTGATAATTTTGTAGAAAAAAGTTTGTATGGATCCAAAGTGACCTCTCCCCAACAAGAAAATCACCTGAAAACATTCAATACAAGAGGGAAAGGAAAAATTATTCAAAACAAACTCTTAAAAATGCTTCATATTGTAAACAAAATATCTAGCACACAGTCTTTAACATTTACAGAAGTAGAAATAAAAAACCACTGATGTGCTTCAGAGTGAAGGTACACTGCTCTTACCTTTCATGGCGTTATGCTTTTACAGATACCATGGAAATCTTCATGCTCTGGCATTAAAAAGCTTTCAACACCCTCTGTTTATTTTAGATAGAAAGTATGGGCCCCAAGCAATTTTAAATGTTCAATAATAACCAGAATTACTGGGGGAATGGAAACAACACTTGCTTTTCTCTTTTACAATTACTAAGAAACAAACAACCCCAAAGCTTGTTGATGGTGTACTAGAAGTAATAATGTGTTATACCTTCTCAATGTGAAAACCAAACTGCAAAAAATCGTGAGAAAATAATAAATATCTGGAAGTCTATTAACCCTAAACATTTTAGAGATGATAGAAAATTTCATCGTGAAACTTTTTCTAACTCCAAACAACTGAGAATTCTAGAAATATTCTAGAATTCTAGAACCTTCTTCCTGGTACAGTGAAAACACTCAATTACATTTTCAGCACTTTGCAGGTAGCTGCATTGACATTAGTTTATAAAGGCTCTTTTATGCTTTAACAGGAGTATGAAGTCAAAATTAAGGTTTCATGAAATGTTATAGAGGAGTTCAATAATTTCTGAAGAATCCATCTTGTGGATTGGAGTCAGAAAGCTGCTTTTCTATTGACCTTCTAAAATCTTTTCTTATCAATGGAAATATTCTGTATTTGAGGAAGCATATTTGAGATTTCCCATTTTAATGGCACATTCTTGTTCTTTCACTATTGTATTCACTGCATTTTTAATAGTATTTTAAATACAAGAAAAAAATAAGGTGGTTCTTGCTTTTGTGGTATGTATCTAATTTTTCCTGAGAGAAGAAAGCTTGGTTTCTGGCAAAATAAATCATAAGACTTATCAAAATTCTTTCCTTCTTCAAGGTCAGTAACCATTGAAAACTAGGAAAAAAACTGGTCAGATAAACATCTGAACTTGAGCTAGGAACATCCAACAATTTCAAAATTACTTACTCTCATTTTGAAATCAGTGTGTTTTATCTCTATTCTGTAGCTGTCACACTTCACCTTTTAGTCTTTAGATACTGTTATACTCTTGGCTGACAGACAGTAGAGCTTTGTTATTGAATTTCTATGCTCTGAACAAACCGCATCTCTGATAACCTAGACAAAACCACCACATTGTATTCTGTTATAAAACAATCCTGTTATAGCACAGAATTTTCAAATTTGAAGCCTGGGTGGAACATTTGCATATCAGATAGTCCTTTCTTATATTTCCTTTTCTTTATCATAATAATCTGATTTATGATGATATAGAATTGTGTCTACCAAAAAATGCTTTACAGATAATGGTCAAAAAGTCAAACTCAATAGCTCACAGGAAGGTCTGAGAGTCAATTAATAAAGGAGCAAGTTCTTGGGAAGAGGAAACATTAAATGCTTTCCACACTGAGTCATCCAATTATATCTTACAGGTGCAACTGCATCCTTTTCTCTCTCTTCTGAGAGGATTTGATATCTACACCTGCTAACCCAAAAGAGAAAGTAAGGAACTCATAAACTGATTAATGAAAATTAACAACATGAATAAACTACAACAATTGTACCTGCAACCACTGGAGATTTCCTGTCATCCAGAAGCTGAATAGCAGTACTGGCTGTCACCACATTGCTCTTGTTGGCAGTTTCTGTGGGGTGTATTAAAAGGAAAAAAAATGAAACAATCTATTACAAAATGAGGAAATTCAGGGTTTTTTTTCCTCCCTGGTTTTAGATAACAGTCTATATAGTTATAGTGTTCAGAAAATAAAACAAGGAACATCACATATGCACAGAACATACTGGCACTGGCATTTTAAATTCCCCAGCATGCCAAAAACAAGCTTAAACACTGAAATGAGCCATCAGGCTTTGCCTCCCCTGCTAAAAGGGGCAGTGAAGGTGACAACTGGCAGGGCTTCTCAATAGTGTGGACATTTACCCTGCTGGACTTGTGCTGCTTAAAATACTTGTTAAAATGTAGTTCTACCTGCGTAAATACTAAATGAAAAGTGTCACACCACACTTTGGGGTTTCTCTTGCAGCCCCATGAAGGACACACCTGGTCAAAGGACCTGTGAAGTAGCTGCAAATTTCAGTGCCTATTTCAGATCAATATTTGAGATCAGCTACAAAGCCCACTCTGTAATGACACACTAGGGATCCTTTCAGCAACATGCATGGTTCAGAATCCAAGGAATGACAAAATTACAGACCTGTGCTGAATGGGATTGAGTAGACAAAGCTCCCAGGTATTTGTTCAGCAGCTCTTCTGTACCAGAGTGGAAAATGGTCAGCATTAAAAATGTTCTCCTTATCTTCAGCTGTCAGGAAGTCTCTTGAGAAAAAAAGAGAGAAAGAAAACAATTGTTGTTTGTTGCATGGCACACAATAGTTTCTAGCTTTGAAAGACAAAAGAAAAGCAATCTTTTACAAAAGAAAATGGTTTAGCACAATTTTTCTAATAACACTTGTTCAACAAAAGAGTTAAATTTAGTTACTAATAATTATTTGTGACACACAATAACTTTTGTTGTGAAAGACATAAAAAACAGTACCTCTAAGTACCACTGAAATTGTTTTTACTGATTTGTATAAATAAAAATGCTTAGACTAAAAAGCCTTTTTCTTCAGCCAAATATAACAATTGTGAGCTGCACAACATGGAAAAGGCACTGGAGCTTTGCTAGTTTGTTGCCACTGGCATTCACTCTTAGGTAGTGGGAAAAAAGGTAACTTTACAGCCTACGTTCAAAATACTATGTACGGGGTGGTAGTGGACAACCAAATACTTTATTCCTCAATAATTTCAGGGAATGCTAAAAGAAGAAAATTTATGTCAAGAACAATTATAATGTCCACTCCATTGTTCTGGTTTTCTGTCTGACAGTGACAAATTATAGTGCTGTTGATGTCACCTACTTGTACAACAATATCTGTCTTCAGATAAGCCTGTAGAACTTTATATTCAATCAAGTTAGTTTATCATAAATATCAAGCACAGATTTTCTTTTACATGTATAACACCTCCACTAGATCACATGTTCTCCAAGGAAAACAGGAAACTCTTGTACAAAGAGGTCTCTTGATTGCTCTTTCACCCAGTCCAATTCTGTCCCTTGGCTTTATTCAACATCAAAAATATTTTCCACAACAATGGTGCAAAATCCCTGAAAAAGCCTACAGGTATTTGTTTTCAGGCGGTGTAGTAAAGGGTGTAGCATGTTTTTAATTTCTCTGAAGAGAGATGTGAGGCTGGAAGTGTGTGCAGGGAGAGCAGATTTATAGGCTACAGGCGTAAAATAGCTCATTGTTCTAAATATTCCAGTCAAAGAAATAATTTAAGGGATCCTAGGATATCTTTCTAACTTGTTCTGCGTAAAGACTTCATAAAATAATTTTTTTTCCCTCTTTTTCTCTCCTGGCTGCCAGGCACAGTTTGTTACTCACTGGTTGGTCAGCTGCTCTGGGCCCACAAAGAGGTTAATCCGAGAGAGTCCAGTCCGTGTCCCAAGGAAAGCAACTTCCACCCCCTTGTCAGAGTTCCTGAAACACAGCACAGCACAAGCAGAGCCAAAGCTTCAGACAGTGAACAGACAAAGCTGCTTCACTACCACAGAAAGCACAAGAGTACATGTCTTTAAGATTACTCTAAACATAGTTCCCTTATTTATTGATTCACTTTTAAATGCTGGTTTTTAAGTTATAGTCATCTGGGGTTTGACTAGTATGCAATGTAGAAATGCTATTTAGACTAAGAATCCATAAAAAGCCAAACACAATAAATTTTGTAGGATCTGTAGGAAGGGATTACATGGATAGAGTAATAGAATAAAAAGGTGTGGCATAGCTATACACAAACTGTTTAATAACCACTGGCACACAGTGATTCTGAGATAGGCAGGAGTTCCAGGTCTTACTTCCAGTCCATTCAACATCTCTGTGCTATATTTAAGCTTCAAGTCATAGCTGTGACTATTTCTCAGGTAAGCAAACATTTTAAAACAGGCAGCTGAGAGTTAAGCTCAGCTGCCATCAGGACAAGTTTTAGGTGCTAGATCTTGGGAAAAAAACCATGGCAAGCAACTTAAACTTCCTGAACTCCTCTGCTGCACTGTTATCAGTACCAAGCTACTTTTAAAATTCTTGTATGGCTGCAAGAACTTCAGTCCCATTACCACAAAACCAGGGACCAGAGCCATTTTTTTGTTTCGTTAATGACACAGAATGAAGCAAAGTCAGAATCTGAAAGGGCTTCAAAAGTCTCCTCCTGGCATCATTCCACACCTGTCCTTGTGCTTTGAATCTGTTATTTCATTGTGTAGGATGACACCTTGCACCTCTCAGTGGCCACAATTTATTAACATGCCACAATTTCTCATCTTTATCTTCCCAGAGAAGGCTGGATAGCTCTTTGATGAACCGGATCTTATAATGTTGCTTTTATTCATTCAGGAGAAGTACATGCTATATAGCAAAGTATTTTTTCATTCAACTATTAGAAAATTGCTGAAATTTAGGAAAATCTGATCAGGATAATCTCCAGAATTGCCTTTCAACCATTGTATTTCATGCAAACTGCTAAGCTTAACACCTGTTTACTCCAATATGGATACAATCTTGTTACTTAACACCTTAGTATATCATAGCACAAATGAATAAAGTAGAAGATATAAACTCTGAAAAGGACTGGCTAATCTCCCGACACTCCCTAACAGGAATCTAGACCCCAATAGTTCTGGAAAATAAACAAATAAAGGATTAAAGAAATTATTTTTCCAGTGCAAGTTTTTCTATATATAATTTATTCTGAGACAAAGTATCAATTTTATCAATAATTTTGATAAATTTTGCATTAAATTTTCCAAATACCCTTTGTTAAAAATACACTATAGTATAAGTTGCAATTAGGGTACAATTTCACCAGTTTTATTGTGGAAATTTCAGCTAATCATCATGACAATCTGTAAGATAAACACTTCAGGCTGAACTCAAAACACTTCAGACTGAACTCAACCTTGGTGGCATTTAGGATCAGACAGTATAATATATTCATGGATATCAGGATTTGTTAGACATTCCACCAGTTCATTAACATAAGTAATAAAAAACACAGCCATGACTGATGAATAATGATGGACACAAAGACAACTTACTCTGATTTATTCAATGCTAGACTGGTCCAATAAGCTTCAATTGGTGCACTCACAACAGCATCAAACAAAACTTCCTGGATCAATTCTTTATCACCTACAACAGAACAAAAAAATCAGTAAATTTATGTGCACATAAAGACTTCTTTTAGATGACTAAACAATAGGGTTTTCTTAGATTTTACTTTATTTGTGATATGCTCTCAAACTTTTTGCACTAGAAAGCATTTACTACATAATATTGCACTGGATTTTACCACAATGCAGTTTTTCACATATAATTTCATTGTATTAGTAAAAATTTTAGGTCAAAACCCAATGATACTCCATTTCACGTAACTCATTCATGTATATATTATCTAACGCTCATGTCTGTGTGTGCCATAAGGTTAAAACAAGTAGGTCTAATAACAGTCACAAAAGCTCTGCATTTCTGCAAACATACAGAATGTGCACCTATCTGAATTTTTTATTCTGCTTTGCAGTTCAGAAATGCTAATTACATATGCATCCTCCCTAAAATACTCATGAAATATCAGGTATATTCTTTAGAGGTGTGATCCAAGGATTGATTCCCATCAGTCCTGTTTAATTTATAAAACCAGATGGAGTGATAGTTTTGCAAAGTACAGCTACACCATCTGAACAGAAACTTGAATGTTTGGTACAATCACATAGTTTACTGTAAAAGTTTATAATTTTTATCATAATTAATACTACTACTAATACATAATTAATTATAATAAATAATAATACTTTTTTTGATATCATGAGAAAAGCTCAAAACGATATGAAATTGCAAAGCAACTTTAGCTAAGCAATCCTATCACTGGTTGAACTAAGTAGCTTTGCATTTTGCAGAAGGTTAAGTATGACAGTTTTTAGCTGGATAAAGCCTGCAAATCCACATTTAACCCAGTACTTGCATTGGAGCAGGGGCTCCTTCCCTGTGAGGTAGCGTTTGATTGCTTCCAACTGAGTCATCTGCCGGTGCTCGGGGTGCAGGTCAGTGTTGCAGTAGGACCTGTGAACACGTTGTCAAAACAGTAAAAAGTTATATGTACAAGCACAATCTTTCTTTGTCTTTGAACATAAAGGATTGGGCTCTGCAGGCACAAACAATATGAAACCAAGGAGGGTAACAGACACTAATTTCATGCTTTATTTAAGGCTTACCATTCGTCTGCTAAAGATACATCAGGGTGTTCTAAATCATGTAAACCTGTAACAGGAATAATAATGGGTTATTTAGGGAGAAGTCTGGGTAACAGATGGTTATTTGCATACACTCCATAATATAAACCCTTCTTGGAAAGTGCATTATTACTATAATGAAATAAATCACAGTAAACTATGTTCAAATACACTTTAGGGTCTAACAAACTGGCAAAACTAGTTAAATCAGATCTAAAACAAAAAAGGTAAGAAAAAAAAAATTGTGCTGATATGTTTAACTTATGTGAATTACTCACATAATATATTTAAAGTTTAGAAGACAATTTCAGCAAAGACAAATGCAAAATGGTAACAGCCTCCTGTTCATACTCCCTTATTCTCTTTGGCCAGTAAAATTCTTTATGCTGAAATACACACTTCTCATTTCATGTGAGCTGTTCTTCTCTCTTATAAAGAAAAATTCATTAAGGACAATTCCCTCAAAACCTAATCATACAGCCCATGAACACAAACAGCAATTTATGGGATTGTTCAGAAAAGGTTTTTTGTACTAACAGTAACAGGTCACATATATGCTTGTAAATAAGAACTATATCATTACTTATATAGCACAATAAAAATGTACTTTGGCAATTTTAAAACTCTTAAACCACTTATCAATAGACAATAAGCAACCAGGGTTCAGAAGGCAGCATCTGGGTCTAACCCCCTGGAGTACACAATGAACAAGGACAGAGCAACCGTGGCTAAGGAGGGCATGGAAACCAAAACTGGAGCTAAAACTGTGATCCCTAGGGAGGACAGAGAGATGAAGGGAGAAAGAATCAGTGAAGGCAAGAGTGGGAACTGTTATGGTTCCGTTAATATTTCTGGGATGCATCTGGGACTCGGACTGCCTGAGATGTGTGGCTGGATTAAAGAACGTCAGTGAGAGGGATGTTGGGAACAATCTGGGGAGGGAGTAGTCCCAAGTCTCCTGTTGTGCCTCCTTTGTAGCTGATGTGCAGATACTCAAACCTCAAGGCACTTATTTTCATATCTCTCCTGAGTAGAAGAACATATTCATGTCCCAAAATACAACCAAAGAACAAGACCTGAAGAAATTATCTTCTTATTTAACAACACTGACAAAACAAGGAGAATGAGAAACAGATACTTCAGCATAAAATCTGAAAGCATTCTTCTATGGAAACACTTTTTGCTCAGCAGCTTCTAAAATTTTCAACCTTCTATTCAACATTCTGAAATGCCTCCACTCTTCCTTCATCTCCAGAAATCTTGCCAAACAACTTTGACTCACACAGTTGACTCCTCCACTCATTTAGTTGGGGACTTATCAAAAAGCAAAACCAAAAAACAGTTCTTTCCCTGGGTACTTCTACTACTATTATAAACATGTAAATCCTTGTAGCTAATGCACATACCAGTTATAGCTCAGAAAGATTTCACAATGTGTAGTCTGTGAACAAAACCAACAGCCATTACAGTGTCTTAGTGGTTACTTCATTCAGAAAACACCACAAATAATTAACATTGGGCTATGACTTGTTCTCTGAAATACTGAGAGAAGAGGATGGAAGATGATCCCATCTAAAGAAGACTAATTAACAGTCTGACTATGCCTGAAAGCCTGTGAAGTAAAATATTTTTAATGAAAAAACAAGTCTAACACTCTTATGGAATCTATGTTAATATGTTAATCTATGTTAATATGTTAATCTATGGAATATGTTAATGCCAAATTAACAATAAAACTACTGTGTAAGCCACATGAGAAGGTAGGTACCTTACCTTCTTCTACAGTTACATTCCCTCTGAAGAAGTATTTTCCATGTCCTCTAGAGAGAGCCACACCTAAACTGTGCAGAGAAATAAAGCAGACCTTGAAATCTGTGAGACAAACAATAGCAGACATTCAGAGCTACTTTCATTTTTAACATTTCCAGCTCATTTTCTATGATTAACTTAAAACTGTTTGTTTCCAAACCCTCACCAATTATATTTATTGTTCAATTAGTTGCTTCAACTATGTCTCAGTTCTGATGTGCCTGCAACAATTGGCTGTATTTATGTCTGCTTAGAGGTGCAGTAAACCATTATTCGCTGGCAAACTAATAAATGAGCCCCTCCAAGCTCACTGCTGTTCACCCAGCATGAGATTTCTTCAGCTGAGCCTTGAACATGACCATGGCCTTACAATGATGGAGACAATTTTTTGTAAATCAGACGAAGCTGTTGAGAAACTACAGAAGTGTGGGAATTGATGGTGCTACTGACAGGAAAAGAATTTCAAATGTGACAACAGCATCATGACTCCTCCTGGACTAATTTTTCTGTGTTTCATATTTTTAGCTAGCATAGCTCTTTTGTATTGACTGCAGCTTCATAAATTCTCAACAGTTACACACTGCGTTTTGGTCTAGTTTTCAGTCTACCATTTAAAACATCCAAGTTTAATGAAGTGGCTGGGGGATCCCATGCTTCTTGCTATTGAACACAAACACAGAATACCTTCTGGCATTCATTCATTCATTGAAGAGGATTATCCTGAGCTAGGAATCTGCAGCAATCAGCAAGACTGCAAATGCAAGTACATGGAGAGGCACCAAATCCAAGAGCACACAAGCTGCTATCAACAGCTCAGTCTGGGAAAGGGCTGAACACTAAACATCTTTGACACTACAGCGTGCAGTTGTCCCAAATCTACACAATAACCCAAAACTAGATACACACCATGTTGAAAAAGGAGTTTTCCTAACTATATTTCTGTCCTTAGCACCATAACCCACACTACGCGCATGCACATAGCCCGATTTCTGTTTAGCTAATAGTGCAAGAGTGCCAGTGCCAAAGAAAAAACAAACAAGTAAACAAAAAAAAAAAGAAAAACAAATAGCAACCAGAAAAAAACTCCACAATATGAAAACAAAACAAAAAACCCACTGAGTATTATCACCCATCAGTAAATTTTAACATGCATTAGAGGAATGTGCCTCTAGTTTCTCTGTGTGGTAATGTAGCTCAAGTTATGTGAAACTCTTCCATTGAAGAAAATTTCATTTGAGTATCACAAATGCCAAACTCCTGCCTCAATTGCAAAGTACAGTTAGGGCTCTTTTGTTAGTGGATTATTTCTAGTTCAAATATGAGCATTTTTAAAGTGACTACCTGTTTTTCTTTTTCTTTTTTTTTTTTTCCTCCTAAAATACATGCAAAAATTACCAGCTTACTTGGCTTTAGTTATAGAAATCCACTGAAGGTCGTTCAGAGAAAAAAAACATCCAAACCTCAAATTGGAAGTGAAATACTATCTCATTTTACATTACATTCTTGTTGTGGAAAAAAATAATAAAATGGGGCTCAAGATGTAGTTACTTAAATGGATTATAGTATTTATAGCTCTCCAAGTACTTGCGAAAACCTTTCGTTCAATGTAAACCTCAACTGAATATTTTTTCAATGAAACGTAAGCCATGACAAACACTGTGAGTTTGCCTGTGTGAGCTTGCACAAACTTTCCATCCCTGGAAAAGCTGAAAGGAATGCTGGTAGGCTCCTTTTCCTTGCTATTTTCAGCATTGTCCAGGGATATTTCATTGTCAGCCTGTGCTGATGAGCTTTTAATGAGTTCACAAGGTCTGTATAAGCACAAATCCAATGAGTTGGGTGAAATGTCCATTTATTATGGCCAGCTCTACCTGAACGGAGTACCCTTGATGTCTGTATAATAGTAGTCATTTGTCATCACCAGGACCCGCTTCTAGATTCAGAACAAGAAAGTCAGAAGGAGAGAGGGGAAGAAGTTAGTTTGCTATAAGAAATGTATAAAAGATCAAGAGGTTAGTCACTGACATAATTAGAAGCAAAGTTTACATTCAGTGGCTGAAAAAAAAATATACTGCAGGGAACCATATTTATAGCAACCTTAGAAATAATTTTAAAATTATCTGCTTGATTTATGTTTAATTAGAATAGTATTAAAGACATTTTACCCCTTTGTCCACTGTCTTCTTCACTTCCATGGAGAATTTTCCTGTTTTCCGGTTCACCATTGCATTTCGAAGCTGAAATGAAGGAACTGTGTGTCAATTCCTTTATTTACTTCTTCTGTAATCCTTTAAGCTCTCAGCTCGCCAGTACACTCATTTGGCCTAAGCAGCACTCAATTTTCTTCATTCCTTCATTTCCAATAATTCTACTGCACACTGGAGACCCCATTTACAGATTTTATTAGAGACTGTACAGGCCAAGGCTCCTGCCATACTATTTCAAGCTAAGGTACATAAGATAGGAGCTCTCAGCATCCTTCATAGTAAAATACCTTTTTGTGTAGTAATCTGGATTTTATTTGGTATGAACAGTGTGACCTCTATTCTTCATGGCAAGGCAAGGACTATATTCCTAGCTGGATTTAGCTGGTTAGACCAGGGCCCAGTGTTTAAATACATCAACAATGACACAGGTAACAAGAAAGCAAAAAGAGAGAAAACTCCTTATCTTACACTATTTATTCCCATTAAGAATCTACATTGGGCTGCATCCTTAATGAGCACCAGAAACTTTATCCTAACTGCATCAAAAATTAGCACTAGCCCATGAAAACCAGAATGGCAGCCCAGTGCATCAGAATGTGATCCAGGGGGAACACACAGACAGAGTGCTTCTCAATTCCCTCTTGCTGTCCACTGGTGTCCAGGCACCCCTTAAAAGGCATTAAATTTTAGCTCTGTAGTGGAAGCCCTAGGCCAGTCACAACTTTAACAATTGGCCTGGACCTCTCCACATCTTCCAAAAGACATTTTAAACCGCTTTCAAAAAATGTTTCATTGCTTTATAAACCAAAAATTCAGAGAAGCTAGGAAAAAACAGAAAACAAATGGAATACAATTATTTAGCTGCTGCTCTGCAAGTTAGATCTGTTACTTTTTAGATCACCACTACAAACCCACACTCTTTTCCTGTAACTTTTTTTTCCTGCATGAGCTACAGTCTCCCAAACCTGGGAGCTGCAATGTCCCCAGCCCATCATCTCTCAAAACTCTGCCCTTAGCACACCTTGGTGCTCCCTGCCTTCCTCCCAAAGCACACACAGCCTCTCTCAGAGATGAACGTGCCATGATGGTGAAAAGATTTAAAAAACCCAACAAGCATCCCCCACCCTGTAAGCCAAAATAACCATCAGTGTCCCCAAGAATGAGGACAGGGCTCTGGGCTAAAACTGAGGAAAGACAAGACAGGTGTTTTGAGAAATCCTCAGCCTTCAGGTTTTGAATTTGCCTATTCATCAGTTCACTTTAGGGAAGAAATGAAAAAGTTGCTGTTTAACAGTTACACCATCCACAAATGGAAATATTTAATTTGAACACTTTTAAATTTACTAATGGAAGAGCTGAGTTATTTTGCTTTTTGTGGGAAAAGGCACCTATAGATCTTCCACAGCTGTAGTTTTCATTACAATTTGAAAATTCCACTATTACAAATCAATTTAGGTTTTAAAATGCAGAAAAATATTGGCAAATTGAGCATTTTTATGTATCTTCTATTGCATATCTATCTAAACACAATTTTGGACATAACGTTCCTGCTGAATAAATATCTCCTCTTCTACAGTACCTCATGCCAGATTGAGCAATTCAGTTGAGTTTTAATGAGAAATTGTGAAGACAAACATCAATGTGCTCTGCAGGCTGAGTTAGTTGGAGGGGAAAGAGAACCACCAAACTTGCCAGTGAAATATCTAGTTTTATTCTCACAAACAAGTTGAGCATGGCTGACCTATCAAAAACTGCAAACTTTGCAGCTCTTTAAATTTAATTCTAGGGCATCTAGATTTGAATTAACAGTCTTACTCTTCTGTTAGTGAGTGTAAAAGAATAATTTTTAGCTGGAGGCATATATAAAATAAAGCATATATTTTACTGTAGATTTTTTTTAACAATGCATAATAGGCAATTCTGGAAATAGTTTCCTATTTTAAGTTTTGTGGTTTTGGACTTGGAGAGCTGGTCTTAATTAACCATCTACTTTCTAACATTTACAGAACAGTTCCATTTATCTTTAACATGGTTTTCATTTTTCTCCTATTGGTGCCTGCAGTTGTCTAAGACCCATTCCTCCCACAAGCCTCAGGCAAGTCATAGATTTACTAAAAGGATCTCCAAACTCTCAGTAGTGTTTAAGATCAAGTCTGCATGTGGGATTTAGAGTTTTATACTCTTTTCTTTTTTTTTTTTTCCCTGCTTGCTGTGATTGCATTTCTTGGCTTTGTAATCTGGTTTCTCAGCTCTTCTGCAGTTTCATCTCCCTCCTCAAATGCATAAAATAAGCACTGCCTCAGTTGGCTTCAAGCCCCAAAACATTCATTCATGGTCTTTTTTTTTTTTCTTATTTGGAAAAAAAAATATTTCATTCAGCTAGAAATTATACCAGAAGAATTGTAGGTGAGTTAATGAGAAAAAGGTTTCTATCCAGATTGAAACTTCTCCTCTTTGGTACTGTGTATTTGCAAATCTTGTTGGAAGACACTCTTAACTTAACAAGCTCGTGCTAAAATCTCTGTTTCTAATAAAATGCCTTAACAGCAAGATAGCAGGTATTGTTAACCTGGAAAATGAGCTGATATATTTATGACAACAATTTTCACAGTGAAAAAAATTCTAACCTTAGTTTGGCCACCTTTTCCTCATTGGATCACTGAAGAAAACCCATGTCTTCACCTTTCAGAGTAATAAGCATTATTGCTCCTTCAACAAAATATCTTTCAATCAATTCCTAACAACTCAGTTTCACTGCTGCAGCATGAGATCATTCTATATTCTTGGAAAACTACGTAACCATGAAATTAATGTGGCAAAAAGTAAGAAAATGTCTTAATCAGCTTCTACGTAAGTGTTTCATGGGAGAAAAAAATACCAGTAGTAGAATATGTTATTAAAAGCAGCTATATGAATACATTAATTCTTTGCCTCTGCAGTTGAATAAACAATGCTTTGCTACTCAAGCTTGGAAAAAATAAAGAACATCAAATATAAGGCCTTGGGTGAAACAGAGCCACATGTAGCTTGTTTCTGTGTTACAATTAAAAATTTATTTTTAAGAAACATAGGTGAAATATTCAGATTAATTGTATGTATATATTTTTTATCAAAATGAGAAATAAAATTTTTGCAGCCCTCAGATTAGACAAAACTCAATTTTTTAAGAAATTTTCAGAAAAAGTGATGGAGCTTATGCATCAATCAAAGGCAGTACTTAGAGAAAGCTGAATCTGGACTTTCATGTGTACTCAGGTAGAATCTCAATTATAAATAAAACTTGACTTTTAATGTCACAGAAATAGCTCAATGTCCCATTATCTGAACCACTGAACTTCTACTGAGATATGATTAACAAAGTGAAAATTAAGCAGAGGAAATAATGGAAGAAATATAAAGGAAAGAAAAAAAACAAGGAGAAATAATAAGATAATTAATGAAGATTTAAAGAAGAAAAAATCATGAAGGTTTAAAATCTGTGTGTAACTACAACAATAACATTTGAAAGGACAGAGGAAATTTTAAAAGGTCATTGGCAGAGAAACTGGTTGAATAATAAAGGATCAAAGTTAAGAGAAAAACCAGGGTATAAAACATGAGGCCAATGAGATTGCCAAGATTGCAGAAGCCTGCTACAAAATATGAAAATCTTATGAGGAAACCTTAAATAGTGTGTGCATAGAAAATGACACAAAGCTATAAAAACATTGAAAAAGTTTGTGTGTGCACTCCAACACAAAACTTCAGCTTAGGAAGTGATGTGGCCTCTGAGGAGAGGCTGAGGACAATCTATCACCTGGTGAAACAGACCTTGCCTAAAACATAGATCAACTGCTCCACTATTCACCAAGGGGGCGGAGGGAGCAGGGAATGCAAGATATATATTTTGTAAGGGAGAAAGAAAATACAGACTTCTGTCAGGACAGAGATCAAGAAATTAGGACATCTGAAGACTGACAAGACTCCAGGGGCTGCTGTACGTGATCCATCCCAGATTTCGGAAGGACATGACACAGTAAATATGGGAACCTTCAGTGGATGTATTCAAACCTCTCTGGAAAAGTAGAGGTACGAGGGACTTGAGAGAAGCTAGCACAGGACTGATATTTGAGAAGGGATCCAGGAGACATCTATGAAAAACACAGACATGCAGTCGTGACTTTGGCAGGAGGGACCTTATGGGAAAAACTAAATTACGGGACAGAAAGGTGAACACCTGGAAAGTTACGATTTAATTAGGGACAGTCAGCACAGATTCACACAAAACGAATCATGCCTAACAAATCAGATTTATTGAGGAAGTGACAGAAAGAACAGGCAAAGGTTAAGCCATGGACATAAGGAAAGCCTTTGATACAGTACTGCAGAAAAGACTAAGCCTGAAAGGTAAGAAAGAATAAGATAAAGAGCAAACTACAGAGTAGATGGAGCACTGAAAAGTTTGGTTAATGGAAAGCATTGTGTGATAGACACAGAACTCCTGCTCCTGCAGCTACCCATGTGTCTGAAATTAGAATTTGGACTGAAACTCTGCTCTGCACATTGGTCAAAGAATCCAATTTTGTTTATCCATCTGTTGTTTTTTGACTTTGTACATTAAGTAAAAACCTCCCATTACTTCCATTAAGGAAAATAGGATCTCATGGAAAGAAGTTCAACTAATTTCTGAGTTTCATCAGTTGTCTGGGCCAGCCCTGAGGAGACATTCTATTCCTGTTTCTGCTGCTATATTTGCTATCCAGCACAAATACACAATGGGATGCATGGAGACTGCAAGGGTGATGAGTTTTACCAAAAATACAAAGAGTCTGTGTTTGTGGTGTATGCATACGTAAGGAAGAAGCAATGCAAAACAGTTATAAAATTCTGAATTAAATAAAAGGGTCTATTGTCCTCCCTTCCAGAGAGCAGTCAGGTGGCCTCTCTAATGACTACTTAAACAGTTTCCAGGTACAGTAGTGGGATGCAACAACGTCTTCTGACAAGGTTTTAAAACACATCACTTACCACATCATCTCTGTCTTCCCACTCCACCTCAGAAAGATCCACACTGCTGTAGTTAGGCTTTCTTCGTTTCTTCCCCTCTTCATACTGATACAAAAAAGGTGGAATAGTTAGCACATCCTGTTTTATTTGCACAAAGATTTTCACATCAGAAGATTTTTAAAAATTCTAAATGCAAACTGATGGTCTGCAATACATTTAGCAGTAGGTAGCTTGATTCACACAAAGTGAACAGTACTGCTGCAGAAATGCTCCCTGTGAACTAAAAGCCTAAAACTCCTGATCATTTGCATGATCTCCTGCCATGATGCAGAGTTTTTCTTGATGGACACACAGGGAGGTCAAACTCAGCTGTTGTACGTTCTTCTCCCCATATGGAAAATACAGGAGACCTTGGATCTTGAAGTTTATGTTAAATATCTCCAACTGGCTCTTTCAGCTGTGCAGGAAGTTATATTTACTGTAATCTTATCAACAAAATGTTTACCCATTTCACTTCAAACAAGATAAGATGCAAGTCTTTGGGAAGTATGGTGTTAGCATTTGCTGATATTTCATTTTATCTACAACTTCATGGGGAAAAGTAACATAGCAATAATGATAATGTAGGGGGTTTTATCACTCCTCACTGTTACGCTGTAAATCGCACATTTTAAATAAACATTCTTGTGACAAATTAATTTGACACCGAGGTGTTTATAACGTGGGAAATTCTGCCCTCTGCTGAACATTCAAAATCAGCCTCTTAGTGCAACCACACAAACCAGGCTCAGTGGAAGAAAGAAGTACTTAGGAAGAATAAAGAATCTGACTGGATAAGTAAAATTAGGAGAGTATATTTGAAAAAAAAGAGTAAATTTGGGAGAGGATTGGCATAATGTGAAATCCAGTCTTTTATCAGGAGAAACCACAAGTCTCTTTATGAGGTATGACAGGAGACATTGTGATGTGTGAAACATCCCCAAATTGCTTTTGTGACTCCTCAGCAGCACCACAGAAGGATTGAAACTGTACCTGTAAGGCAATATATATGGTTGATTCTCCTCCCTCAGGCCAGGACCAACTGCACCATAAACCAAAGCTGTCAGTGCTTGAGACAAGCAATTCATCACCACAGCCAGCAGCGCAGGCACTTTCAATCACGTTCTGCAGATTACAGAGACCAAGGGAAAGCCTTGCTCTCTGAGCATTAAGAAGGTTGTTCCCATCCTTTTTTTCCTCTGAATTAAAAATTCTAATATAAATCTCACAGTTGCTTTTGTAGGCCACACTACTTAAAAATAGGAACAACAAAAGTCTCTCTGAACAGAAAACTTTTAAAATATCAAATACAGCATATTAACACAAAGAGATTTTGAGATGTAGCACTGTGAAGTTTCTCCTAGCATGGGCGTCCCTGAGCTTCCTTAATTATTTTCATAAAAAATTGGATGCTGCAGTTTTTCTTACAGACAGTTCTTTTAGGAAATTCTGTGGGGAAAAAAAACATCACGAGTGAATTCTCATTCTTTTGTATAAAAAATTCCCAGTAACTTTGTTGGTGCAAGTTCTGAGAAGTGATGCAGGTGCAATTGAAAAGTATTTTCATGTGCTTTCCTTTCCCTCTGCTAAAACCCACTGTTCTTGCAACAAGGTTGTCTACTTCTTCTCTACTACTATTCAACAGATGGGTAAAGAGATGTAAAGAACTTTTGCTTTCAGCACGTGTTCGTACTCCAGACTGTGAATTCAGGCAGCTCAGTCCTACAATTAATTTTTACTCTGTGACAGCCCTGATAGCCAGAGAGATAACTATACCCAAATACTGAAGTACAAAATTTGCAGCCAATATAATTAAATCTCACAAGAAAAACATATGAGAGGATAACATCCCATTCATTACTAGGGCTTGATTTCTCTAGTTGTGTTTTGCAAGTCTTTCATTATGGTTGCAGTTATATCAATATTATCTTTAATCTTCACAGGGAGTAACTACATCTATTCTCTGTGGCTGCACCAATTAACCAAATAAATCCTTGATCTGATTTAGTCATTCTAGAATAGAAATGGTTACAGGCAAGCTCTGAAATACTGAGAGCTGAACAGTGTTACAAAGACATGAGCTGGATCATCTGAGTAGAGCAAACAGCTCCTGTACTGACTCCAATGTTTAATCACATCCTCCCTCACAGATGTTGAAGGGCTTCTGGGCTATACTGCATTCTCAGACATGTGCAGATTTTTATTTAGGACAAGAAAAGTTGATCTTGTGTGTGTGACAGCAGAAACAGGCTTCAAACCCAAGGCAAACCATTAGCATCATATTATGGGGCTGGTATTTATTTTAATCATATAGATTCCACACCTTGCACTCAGAGAGCAAAAACCAAAAGCAAACAAATGAAGATCTGGATAAAACACCCAAACTTCTGCAGAAAAGAATCAGAAGCATTCATGTCTTAAAAATTCATAAAAGAAGACACAAAGCCAAAATCCCAATGGTCAAGCAAGACTTAGGCTGTATAAGCATTTACAGGAATTGCAAGTGCACTTAAATGCATTTAGGACAGGAACTAATAATCTTCACGAAAATATCACCTTATTCCCAGCAGTAAATTTACATTATGCTGATGTAAACAGGGCATCAAACACCAATGCAAACAGATCAGATATAAAATACTTAATAAAAGTAATGCTGAAACGTCCATTCTCCTCTAGCTTCTTTCTGATTTTATTGCCTAACTAATTTCTTAGTAAAAGTTATTCATGGACACTGAAGCAATTCCCGGGGTTTTAAAAATAGAATTCATCTATATCTTCTTCTCTGGTAGCAAACCTAATCTAACCTTTTATCTCTGAGGCTCCTGGGTAAAGTATAAAATGCTGATTGAAGCCTGAAGCCAAACCCATCTGCGAAATTACTATAAAGTATTGAAAAAATCATTAAGGGACCCATTGGGAAAGATAGAAACTAGGAATTTTACCAAATTACTATGATATAAGTACAGGAGAAAAAGAGCTAGATTTAAAATGTGTGCTGCTAATCTTTGGCTTATATAAAATATGAGGTGAAATTATATAGCAGTCAACCCCAGGGAGGGAAAAAAATATACTGAAAAGTGTTAAGTATCTGGATCTCAAAAGAAGAAACTTTTGGTCTGCTCAAAACTACAGGATGGTGAGATTTGTTTGTGAGAAAAACCCATGATTTGGTTTTTCTATTAGAATGAGCTTTATCATATCTTACTCAGTATCTTTTGTTTGAGACTGGGCCAGACCCTTACAGCATTGGATGATTCAAACAATGTGTGATGTGTGTTGCTAAAGACTGATCCACACTTTTTCATCACCCTGTACACAACCATTTACATGTGCCATTATTAAACTCTTTGCTTTGATTTTCTTTTTTTTTCTTTAATTTTTTAATACAAGCAGTCCCAAACCATCTGCCTTGAATATGACCAGCCACGTGTTTATAGAGTCAGAGTGTAGCAATCTGATCATGGACAGAGCAAGCTACATCTTAACAGCTGCAATCTTGGGTCTAAGGTGATTGGAATTTCTCAGACGTGCTCCATCTGGATAAAGGGGAGGTGGGAGAGAGGAAGTTGCTGTGATAGCAGCCTTGGAAGCATCACCAGATTTTAATGAATTTTCTAAGCCACAATGTGGAATCATCTGTGAGAAAAGCACCTACTAAAAACCAACTGAGACCTAGAGAGGTAAAATAATTTCAAGGAATACCTCTCCATTGCCAAATTACTAATGTGTACAAAAGTAAGGAATTAGGTACTGGAAAAACTCCTCCAATTTTAAAACATAACATCATTCAATGAAGCTTCATCGTTTTGAATTAGCATTTCAAAATTCAGATAATGTATTAATTTCATCAGGTGTATTAATGTCATCAGCCTTTGAGAATGATCCCTTTTTCTTTTGTTTAGAGGAGACAAGCGAAAATATGCAAATATATTTTGCAGAGCTTGAATTCTACATAATAAAATTCTGCACATTATAATTGTTTTTATAACTAACTTGCACTAAGTCATCTTACAAAGGTATTGTTATCTACAAAGTCTGATGGGAAATCTTGAATGAAACAATATCAGAGGAAAGGCAAAAGTAACTAAAATTACACACTTTTCCAAGCAGTTTTAAATAAACAGGCAGAGGTTGTAAGCACTGTCTTATCTGCAATTCCCTGGTCTGGGCAGTTTTTCAGCTCCCTCCCTTCCCTCAGACTCTGCACACTAAAGCTGCCACTTATGTATTGTCTGGGGTACCTCTGACTGTCATGCAAAGCCTGCAGCTTTTGGGGTGGGAATTGCATCAGACCTGACTTCCCATGGTCAATGCAACATCCAAGAGCTTCACCAGCCCTCCCAGCACGAGCTGCTGCTCTGTCCCACTGCTCCCACTGTGCAAGGGGAAAGTGTGATTTATAAACAAACAAACAAAACAAAAAACCCCAAACAAACAAACCAACAATAGTAGTAAAAAAAACCCTTCCTTGCTTCACCTATTATAACTGACAATACAACATCATCCCCAGTGACTGAGCTTTCATTCTCCATGTGCTACTTAGCTCCAAAACATTCTGCCTGGGGATACATGTGAAGCATCATCTTAATCTAAATCACTGCTGCTTGGCCTTTAAGCTCTTTATTTTATTTGGAATATTTTTTTCTCTGCTCACATAGTCCTGTTTTGTCATTTGTGATACTTTAATTTCAGTTTCCATCCAGTCTGCAACTTCAAAGGATTTCTTATTGATCTGCACTTAGCCTTGAATCTATAGAACACGGATAGGTGTTCAGTCAAAAACCAAAGTTTCTGTCAAACCTCACAAACAAACAAACCTCCTTAGTTAATATGAAAAAGGTAACACCTTGATTCTCTTAGGAAAATCGGAAAAACATCTTCCCTGTCCAAAGACAGATTTTTCATGACCAGCCTATTATTTAAGATGCTAATCCAGAAGTTCCTAGGTTATGGTTGGTAGTAAAAACCAGTTACTTTGGATTGCTTCTCCATGCCAGATGGTTGTGAAAAACTGCTGCACTATAAAATTTGCAGAAATACTGCAAAGAGAAGCTGAAAACAGGAGC